CCCCCCCCCCCCCCCCCCTCACTGGAGCACCGACAGCCAAATGAAAGGGAATGACTCAGTAGAGATGTTTCAGCTCATACATATGCTCACGTTCATCTACATGCGCCTTAGAGTTGTCTGTGTGTGCTTGAAAAAGGAAGCGCGGGATTGGGGGTGGGCTATATGTGGTTTTTATTTGTATCATATTTTGAGAAAATGGAAAGGAAGAAAGAAACTGATGGGAACAGGAAAGGAGGATGAAACTGGGATGAGAACCTGAGAGAGAAGGCAGGAGAGAGTGTGAGGGGAGTATAATGAGTGAGGAGTGTGTGTGTGTGTGTGTGTGTGTGTGTGTGTGTGTGTGTGTGTGTGTGAGCAAGAGAGTGCGTTTCCCAGAGCTTACAGGCAGCTCTGAATAAATCATGCCCCGTCTATGGCATCTACGGCAGTTACTGCCATTATTGTTCGTCCAGTCCGATAGCAGCTGGAAGAATATCACCCTTCAGTTTTTCATCTCTCTCTCTCCCTCTCTTTCTCTCTCCATCTAGCGCCTCAGATAACTTTGTTTCCTTGGAAACTATGTGGAAAAGAGGAAATGGGATGGGTGTTGTTAAGACGAGTGGGTGGGTTCATATCAGGCAAGGAGCTGCAGCATTCGGATGAGGTCGACCCCGACGTTGAGTCCCTTCGGTTAGATACTCAGCTTTCTGCTCAGCTGCCAATCACAGATCGTCTTTTTCTTTCACTTATCCTGATTTTATTTTCCTCCCCCTCCTCAAGTCTGTGTTTTCAGCTTTCTCTATTTTGCAAAATGTCCCAAGTCATCCTCCAACACACACACACACACACACACACACACACACACACACACACACACACACACACACACACACACACACACTGGATCCTATCTATTCTGTGTGTTTTCTGTTATCCTCACAGGAATGCACCATTTCAATAACAGGGGTCTGTTTATCTTCTCTCTGCCTCGTTTCTTTCCCTTTGTTTTGGGGCAGCAGTTGCCATGGCGATGCCTTTTCTGATGCCCTACAGATGATTATCATCATAAACATTTAGGCAGGAGCGCTCATGCCTCTTGCCTTCTTTCTGTCGTAAACAGCTGTCGATGTGGAATGGATGCCTAGATCACCCCCACCCCAACACACACACACAAAGACACCCACCCATCCGCCCAAGTTGTCTGGCAGAAGTTGATGATGATGTAGAGCCTTGGTATGAGTACATGGGTAGCCCAGTGGGACAAGGATTAGTTCTTGTTGAGGGCGTGGAAGTCGTAGCTGGAATATTTACCGTGCTGCGGAGCAGTTAAAGACGTGCGCAGGGCAGACGAGCAGCGATCAAGAAATTATGAGCACATTGATTTTTGTTTTAACTGCAGATTGACCATATCCACCATCTACTCTTCAAACCTGTCTGGGCTTTACTTTAGCTTCTGGCTTCTTTCGAGGTTAAGACCTCTAGAGGTATAAAAACCACTTTTCTTGTAGTAAACACCGCCTGTCGCTGACGCCGCCTGAGATCATATCAAACATTATTTGTAGCTTTAATTTCATCAGACGCTGACACAGCCATGCATCGAATGCCTCAAATGCTTTTTGTCCCCATTATTTTCACCTCCAAACTCCTCGATCATTAAAACGCTGCTCTTCCCTAACAGTTCCAAGGCCATTAATATGTTTTTGGGGACTTATTTCCATAAATTGGTTCCCTTCTCAGAGCTGGGAGACCACTTGGTGGGGAAAATCAGATTAGCCAGCAGGCCGCCGACAGTTGTGTCAGGGCCCGTGTCGGTCTGTGCCGGCATCTGTTAGGGTTTTGGTTTTGATGCTGGGAGCCAAATCCTGATCCAAACCCAGAGGGGCTGCGGCGAGAAAAAGAGCTTTAAGCAGGATTTGATGGGAGAGGAAGCGACGATAATGCGAGATTCAACGCCCTTTGTCTCAAAATGAGATTTATTTATTTTTATTTATTTTTTAAATAGAACGTGGGTAACATACTCATGGTACGACTCTAGGTCAAGTAATGAATGAGGTGTCACATTTTTGTACTAAAGCTCTCATTTTCTTCAGTCTTCTTGCAAAAAGCACTGACTGATGTTTTCACTTGAGACTAGATCTGACTAAAGTTTCTAATGTGACTCGCTTTAAACAAACAAAACCTGCCAGCCTCTGATTTCAGGGCCTCAGACTGCACTCATAGGAAGACTCACTGCTGCAATCACTTTGCACATCTTGCATATCTGCGTGTCGGCTGACAGATAAGGATGTGTGGACTGCTGAAAGACGAGTCAGGTTTACCTCGCTTGGCCTGTTGAACTGTTATCACTTAGGTCGCCACGACACGCTCCTGAGATCTACAACAGGCTGAGGTCACCGGCCAAGATGGCTGGCCAGTGTAATAACAGGTGAGGGAATGCGCATGCAGTTTTCCCCTTAATTCCTCATGCAGAACCAGACGTGAGTAAGAAAGAAAAATGCAGAGCCTCTCATCACTCAATCCTTATCAGTAAATGTCACAGCGCTGCAGAGCTGGGCACAGTGTCACACACACACACCATTGCCCAGCACACACCCGTGGGTTTTCTTTTATATCTTTTGTGTTTTCCCTGGTTCATCAAAGTATGCCAGTTTGCATGAGAGGCAGAAATGTCCCTAAATTAATCAGTTTGTGTTTTTTGTAAGTACAAGCCAGAGAAGAACCAAGAAGGGAAACATATTTCAGACTGAGCAGAAACAGGAAAATATAAAAAAGACAAAGAAACGAAGAAGCAGCAGCAGTGTTTTTTTCCCAGTATACAAAGTCGAAGCTTGATGAATGGAGACTGGAATCCAGAAAGAGACATTTTGGAAATAATCCTTCCGCTGCTGTTCCCAGTGACGGACTCATTGGATGAGTGCGGAGGAGGGAGGTAATACGCTTGACGGAACGGCTTCGGTTTTTCCACTTTGATGAGGGAGAGGGAGTCATCATGGCGATGAAATAAAAACCATTCCAAATGAAGGGAGCGCCTCATCCTCCCCGTAAAAAGACAAATCTATAAAGCAGTGACAGTTTAAGTGAAGATGAGGCTGACTGGCTCGTGTGTTGTCCACGCTGCCTCCCGGGACTTGCGGTGATTTTTAAAAAGGCTGGCAGGAGTGCCAAATAGGGGTGTCTTTCTTGCTCAAGGACACTTGATTGTGACCACTCAGCAGGCATTAAAGCACTGAGGCACTTATGTTTTTGGACGGCTCTGGCCTGTTGCTTTCTCTTGGGTTTTTTTTAGACACCGTCAAACGTAAAGCCTTTAAAGCAGTAACAGCGGCTGTAGTTGAAGTGCAGACTCGTATAAAAGAACGGGCACAGCCATTGTGGCCTCAGCCTTTGACGTAGCGTGCTTTTGAAGCCATCTTTTTAGACATAGTTGTTACTTGGTTAGTTAAATAACTGCACAGCAAGCTTATTTCTCTGGAAATGACATTTAAAAATGTTCCCACAGAAACCTCCAATATAAATACAGTGGAGGTCCAGTTCACTGGCTTGGATTAGATGAGATGAAGCCCAGTCAGCACTCACCTTTCCACTCAAAGCAGCCACACTTAAAAGCCTTAATGATAAATTTATGTGTCACACTTGTTTATTTCGGCTCTAAAGTTTTTAACCCTCAACCCCTCCCTCAGTTTTTCTTTTTTTCCTTTTCTATAAATGAGAGAACTGGATCCTTGCCATTTGTTTTTTCTTTTCCATTGTTGTTAGCTTGTTTTTGGCCCACAGGCTGCCCTTTTCCTGCCTTGGATGTTGTGCGCTTACGTTATTATTTTTGGAATAGCCGATCTATAACTCCCAATCTCGCCTGACCTTAAGAATGTGAACATTTTCGATATCTGTGACGGGCGTTTTACCAAAGATAAAAAGTTTGAATTTCACTCTGATCAGGTTTTTGTTTTTTGGCAGTCTGACAACAAATAACCTGCAGTAACACCGCAGCACTGTCCAGTCCGCTTTGGAGTTATTAGTAGGAAAGAGCTCGGTGTCATCTCTTTTTTTTTTTTGCTTTCAGTTATTGATATTAATGACAGGAAATAACCACTGAGAAAAACTCTGTTTTGAACTGGAGAAGTCTGAACATTGGCTGTAAGTGCTGTCAGGGCTGTTTGCTGAGGGTGTGTGTGTGTGCTGTGCTCTGCACTTCCACCGCTTCCTTTCCCGTACACACCACTGCTGTTGGAGGTGTTGAGATAGCCTCCAAGCTTACAGATCCTACATTTCCCATAACGCACCTCTGTGACTTCTTTTTGCTTCCATGTTAAATATTCATGTCTTTCACATTCAGTGCTGCCAGTTTACACCACAACCTTGTTAAAAGACATCTCCAAGGCCCGGGTTAAGAGAGGTGATGATCCTGTTACCGTGACATCGCCAGAGTAAACGTGTCGGCTCCGCCCTCTTTTCAGTGCATGTATGCTAATCATCCACATATGTTTTGTAGCATTTGGCTTTCGTGTGTATCGTGCACAGATGTGTTTCTGCACCACCCACACCCATCTGCTGTTGTGCTCACAGAGTAGCCGACCGACTGCCCGAACAGGCTAACATGCCATCATGGCTCTGGCCCCCCGCCAGGCCCGTGGCCCCCACCGATTGATGTTTTCCGAGAAACATTAGCAGGAAGTAGGCCAGAAAGAGAGGAGGGGTAAGTGGGGAAAGTAGTGCTCCTTTTAGAGAGGTCTTCTTTTTTTTTTTTAAGTCAAACTTTATTCATGTCTCATTAATGCCTCCTACACAAATCTGGGAAGCATGGATGGAATGTATGGAAACACGTGTGCTCTGTAGAGAGAGGAACATGCCTGCCATCGAGCTGCTGTCGTCTCGGCCGTAAACACATAATTATTCTCCCCATGTAATAGACGGAAGCGTTCACATTCCACAAACTGAGCAAT